TTTCAAGTAAAAATAGCTGTGAAAACATAGCACTTAGATTTGCATTTATTTCCAGAAATATTTAGATTAACCTTCAAATATTTTTAGTTCCTAAGATAACTCACTGAGACAAATGAAACAGAAATAGCTTTAAATGAAGAAAAAAAAATCCACTTACTTGGTAGAAACCTTGATACTCAAAGCAAGGCAAACTTCGACCTGTTATATAATATCCCAGACATGTATGTACAAAGCCTGCCCGCCCAACTCTCTCATGTTATATAATATCCCAGACATGTATGTACAAAGCCTGCCTGCCCAACTCTCTCATCTGCTTGGAAATCTGTGGTAACTGAATTGACTCTGGATATTAGTCTTTTTAAAAAAAATATTTATTTTTTTAGTTATAGGTGGAGACAATATCTTTACTTTTTATTTTATGTGGTGCTGAGGATTGAACCCAGTGCCTCATGCATGCCAGGCAAGCGCTCTACTTCTGAGCCACAATCCCAGCCCTGTATATTAACCTCTATTATCTGATTTTTTTTCCTTTGTGTCAGTACTGGAAAATACAAGATCACAACTAATGAAGCAGTGATTTGTAAACCTGAATCTAAAAGGGAGAATTCCAAATGGGATTTCTGTACCAGCAACACCATTCAATTTACTTGAAATAGAACAACTAAATTACCTTTGGGCAGAGAGTAGAATACCTTGACTAGTCACATGTCTATAAACACATCTAAAACATGTTTCTCTAACTCCATTTAAAGATACATAAAGGGACTTCTAAAGGAACCGGCAACAAGTATACTTTTGGTCTTGAAGTATTTAAATGTATGAAACACTTACCTTTAAAGGTTGAGAACCTAATAGATCATTTAGGATGTCATGAAGAGCAAGTGACCTGGCCCTGTAAAATTCTTCATGTACTGTTTGTGCTCTTGAGGTAATTACTCCAAAGTAACTCCTTATATTTTAAAGTGGATAGCGTCCACTTTCATATGGCCAAGGTCATTTCTGCTGTACTGTCTTTGAATTCTAAAGGAAGTTGGGTGATCATATGTAAAACATTTTAAGAAAGAAAAAAATGTGAAGTACTTAGTTACAAACCATAGAGAATGATTTTCTAACTACCATAGAGAAATGGGTGTAAGTGAAATTATTCTACTCTCCTCCAAAACATGAGAATTTACCCATGGCTCCAGGTGGCAGTGTTTTGTTTACAACCAAATTTAAATCTTTTTGTAAAAGGCAACTTTAGACCTTTTTTTATTTCTCATGTTTTTGATATTGAAATAAGAGACTAATCCTTTGCTCTCCTTAACCTAAGGACAATTAAATATAATTTGAAGCCAAGAAAGCAAGACCTACAACCATGTATGATGAGATTTTTGGAGAGGATACTGGCCTTTAAAATGCCTGTGTCTTGGAAAGATTCACTGGGTGATTTCAGAAAACTTTTTGGCAAAGCTAAGTATATTTAACTGGAAAATTGACGAGAATATTAACTGGTATGGGAAATGTAATATTTTCATATTTTATATTATGGTTTGGTTTCAATAGGGATTTGGGATATAACCCAAAGGCCCCTTAGCATGAATAAAATTAGGTATTCATCTGTTCTATCATGTGGACTCCATTTAGGAAATTTTTTTTCTCTCCCTGTTCAGTTCCTCAACCATTAAAGTGACAATTCTTAATGTGTTTGGTGCTTAAGATTTTGCAGATTGCCATGTAGACACTACTTCAATTGGGGTAGGCCTAGGAGACAAGGCAGCACTTATGACTATCCCTGCTTCTGTGAACAAGAATATTGGCCTCAGTTCTGTTCAGCTTGTTTTGGCTCACATGCCTCGTACATGATAGAGATGAGATCTGTTCCTAGTCTCATAACTGTCTTCATTTTCTTACCTTCATTTGTGCCACTTCAAATATGGCATGGAGGTGAAAGAGCAAGAGAGGGTTTTGAATATTCTTTTGGGAATTTGAATTGGATAGGAATAAAAAAATTAGCTCCAGCTTCAACACACATAGACATATATATTTAAACTGTAGGTGACTGCAAGGGTAGATGGTAAAATAAACCATGAAGGACCATGTACTAAGACTTTGAACCAAAAAACAGCAGTTTCATAAGGACCCTGACATAAGCTAATTTGTCAGGTTGGGTACAAAAATATACCTCTGATCAGTTTCATCATTGTCAAGGAGATCTTGAAGTAGTTAGTTCATGTTCTCAGTTCTTAGAGCTGCCTTCAGAGAAAATGATCACATTAGGATATTTCGAAGCCTAAAATGTCGTAATATTGTGATGCTATCATGTGTGATATTGTGCTATGCATAGTTTAGCCTGCAGATTGTACCTAAAAATACGGATTCTATCATTACAGCCTAAATTCCCTGGGTAAAATATATTCTCATAATTAATGTCAAAGGGAGTTTTCTCTGATCTTTCTTCTCTTTTTCATTATTACTTTCATTCATTCTCCAACATTTATTGGTCTCCTAAAATTTGTTAGGCTCTCCGCTGTGTATTGTGAAAGACAAGAATGGCACTGTGGTGGCCCACACATCTTCTCCTAGTAATAATATGCATCGGTGCAGTCAAGTACTGGGGCATGGGATGTGAGGATATCTGGCCGAGTGAAAGGTGGCTGGGATCTATAGTGAGCCTCCCTGGCCTGTTCCCCCTCCTAATCAGTATTCATGTATGTCTGAAGGCATCTTCTTTGGTTGTACAAAGGATCCATCAAGACTAGGTTCATACAAGATTTACATGGATGGATATTTAAGTGTTAATAAAAATCATACAATTTTACATGGAAATTACAGTTTCTACAATAGTGTATTTAGAATTTTGTATAAAGCATTAATGCATTTAAAATCATGGGAAAATAACCATGGTACTAGTTATAACTTGGTATCCAAGAGGGGATTGGTCTCAGGAAACCCCTGTGAATACTAAATCTGAAAATGCCCAAGAATTTTATATAAAATAAGATTTCATAATATTTGCATCTAACCTACACATATCCTCCTATGTAGTTTAAATAAGTAACCTCTAGATTACTTAGAATCACTAACACCATGTAAATATGTTATGCTACATTGTTTAGGGGAAAATGGCAAGAAAAAAAAGTCTGTACATATTTAGTACATGTGCAATTTGTTTGAATATGTTCAATTTGTGGTTGGTTGAATCAGTGATTGTGGAACCTGTGGATATATAGGGCTGGCTGCATACTAAAATATGAAAAAATATTTACAGAATCCCATTTTGAAATTTAATGAACCAGAAAGTAAAATGGAAGCCATTTTTGAAGTACCCCATACATTTTCTTTTTTTTCTTTTTTTTTTTTTTTTGCACTATCTCCCCACCACTTTCTCTGTTGTGAACATTGCAGTGGATCTTGACCTCCTGAGCCTAGTCTAGTCCCTGTAGTTCCTTAGGGAAACATTACTTTTCTGCAAGTTAAACTTCACAGCAATTTGCATTATCTATGTTAGCTGATGCATAGAACTAAAGAGTAAGGAGGAACTTACATACTATTCTGATGTAATCTGAAGGTCACCAGATGTTCTATTTTATAGAAATCTCAAGAAAGGTTATTTAGCAGTTCCCCATACATTTTCTTAAGAAGCTGGAACTGATTGGGCTAGATCAGTTCCTGACCCTTGACAATTTAAGTCTAGAATGGACAAGAGGTGTTTTGAGAACAGAGTACCTAAATGAAGTATTCAAAAAGAAACTCTTATTGTGGTTCCATAATGTAGAAGAATTATATTCAGTTACAAGAGATTTCTATTCACTGTAATATTAAGATTCTGTGTTGCTATTTAAGCAGCATTTCTAATAAAAGCTACAGTACCTCTTGGGGGGATAGGTTTTGAGGTGGATTGGATGGGAGAGGTTGATTTAAAACTCCAGTAAAATGAAAGGCCAGATTGCTTCACAGGCAGAGCCTATGGAACATGTGAACTCTGCTGCACTTCACCTAAGGCCTTTTGAGTCAGTGAGTCCTTGTTCTGTCCAGATGTATGGAAACACATACACAGGAAACCAGGCTTTTCACTGCAGTATGCAGACGTTGGCACTGAATAGGTGCTGCGAAGAATTCCAAGGCGTGTCCCCTCTTGAGTGTAATTCCAAACCAAAAAAAAAAGGCAACTGTGCCTAATAAGCCAGCTCAACTGAATGCCAAAGAAAATGTGCCTCATGAAATGGAAATTCTGAAGCAAGTTACATAATGCTGAGCAAGTAAATAGGAGGACTTGTATGATATGTCCAAATGGGGCAAATGGTTGTTGTAATCAGAATAGTCCAGCTCAGTAATATTTAATAACATTTGGTGAAATCCAAGTGGACTTGGAGATTGGGGACCTTTTATAAGCCATGTAAATATTTACTTTAATTTTTAAGAAGTGATGTATGTGAACTTCAGACGGTTTTTAAAAAGTTACTGGATATTGGCCAATATGGAGCCACCCAAATGTATTCATTATTAATTCTGCACACCCGTATTGATTGTGAAGAGAAAAAGGACCATTTCCTCAGTAAATCAACAGTTTTTTAAGCATTTGCTAGTTGCTAAAAGTAATGGAGTGAAGTGCTCCAACGTGAGTGTTTGTGAATTCTCTTCTGTGTAGTAAATTCACGCATAAGCCAGGTTCTCGCATTTTCTTCTCAGCCTTCTCTCTCTCTGTTGCATCCTATTCTTTATTCCCTCCCTGGACTTTATCTAGGACTTTATCACCTTGTGCTCTAGATATTGTCATCCTGTCAGAGCCGCTTCTCCTCCTCGCTTCCTTTTTCCCCTCCACTTTGCCACTGTTGAAAAACAAAACAAAACCAAAAAAACTCAAAGACTCCCTCAACTCTAGTATTCATGTGTCATTCCATCACCAGGAGCTTCAGTGACTAGCATTTAAATGTAATTTTTTTCTTTCTGTTGTAGAGGAATAGTATCAAATTTTAGAACTTCTTCTCACCGTATCTTCCTCTGTGCATTTCTTGCAGGATCAATGTGACTCTAGAAACAAATGGATGAATGAATATCCATATGAAGAGGAAAACAATAAAGGTCGGTTAATCAAGTTGTATAATTGCATTGAAAATAGTATTATTTTGAGCATTGTATTTGGACAGTTATTTCCATGAAAGCATTTCCTTGTTTGACTGAATGAGATAAAGGTCAATACTGTACACACACATTTATCTGTAAAATATAATTTTTCTTTTTAACCCCTTAAACATAGACATTTGTAAGGAAGCCATCTGTTTTTGTACATGTGTAGCTGTCTTTCTTTCCCGGATCTCAAGGTGGTATTTTAAGCAATAACTTTCAAAGGAATATTAAAATGTGGAAAACCACTTGATAACAACTGATCACTGGGATCGAAAAAAAAACCCAAAAGGAGGTCAGATTTGGTTTAATGTACATCAGTTTCTATGAGCCTAATCCTAAAACCACCACTGTGCCCGTGCAGTGTTGCTGCATTCTTTGCCCCTGAAGCCTCTGTCTTCATTGGAGAAGTGGGATCATGATGGAAGGTTTTAACTTTAGTTTCCTACCGACAAATACAGTGAGACTTAAAGGAAGGAAAAACCCTGCAGATTTTGACTGTAGGGAAATACCGGGCATTGCTTTATTTGTGGTAGTTATTTGAGTTTTACTTACATTTCTTACTGGTTTTAATATAAGAGTCATAGGTAAAACCAAGGAAATTACATTATATTAAACTATTTCCATTTCATAAATAAAGCTTTTATACTGAACAGATCTGGCATAGAGGTATGTGCCTTAGAACTCTTCATATGGCTGCATAACACATATAATTTCATGTTTTACTTCCCTTATTATTCTTAGTGCTTTTAAAAAATAAATGTATGTCATGCTATGTCTTTTTCTGTCAGCCCACTTTCATGGATACTTACAAATGATTTTCCACTTAAAATCTTCTCTTCCAAGCTCACTGCTAAAATTTTTCTTTGTAGTGTTTGTATCTGCAAAGTTTTCAGACAGGAAGTATTGATTCAGATGGTACAAGGGAAACTTTCGAGGGTATCAAAAATGTCCTTTTTACATGACCTCGGTATTGTCTCTGTGGGTGCACCTGTTTTGTGAGGGCTCATGTACCATGTGCTTTTTTTGTGTGTGGGCCATTGATGTGCTGGTAAACTGACGGGCTGTGTGAAGAATGGGAAATGATAGTTTTATGTGTGGTGTTTGTCCATTCCTCTGGTGTAAATACCCCTACTGGTGGTGACTTCAGTGGTTTGCCAATGGGCTTACATGATTCCTTAAAATTAACAATTGGCTTTCACTAGCTGAAGATGAGCTGGCCCAAATACATCATTGATAATTTGGTTTATACAGTGATGAAGTTGAATTATGTACTCCTTAAGACTAGTGGGACACACCTAGAAAATATTAAAATTTTTCCTTCATCTTTCTATAGACATGGAAATGTTCTTTAGACACTATCATGCAACGTTTCCTTAGCTCTGTCCTTATGCATGACGTTGAGACCGTTATTATGCTGTTTTCATTCAATTGTCATTCGATTTTTATGTTTAAATGAATCACAGTTAAATTGTAAATTTATAAATGTTGGTCATGTCATTGTTCCCTGAGTTTTTGATGACAACCGAAGATGTTGGCAGAGAGAATCATCATGTTACTACTTAGCCTGAGGATAAACTGAAAATATTTTCATTTCATTTTGTCTATAATATATGTGATTCATTCTAAACGATCCTGCCTCATAGTCCATCATTCATGAGTTCAAAAGTCTTTATAAGGGATGGAGTGGTTGGTATTTCATGTAATATATTTGTCCCATTGGATTGTTTTCTTTCTTGTTATTTTTTCATAGTTTCAGTCCATATTTTTAGTTATATATACATATAGATCCCTCAGAACAGAAAATACGTTGGTGCTTGTTTTTTAGTCTGCTTCCGTCAGTTGCTGTTAATTTTAACAAAGTCTGATTCAGGGAGAAAATGGCAGAGTTTGAAAATTTATGTTTTCTGTATTTTAAGTCTATTGACCTTGTCACTATTAAGATGTTAAGAAAAATGTCATCAGTGCAAGCAGTGCGACACAGCCTTCAGAAGTGAAAAGGGATTTGGATATGGCTCTTAAAACTGTTCTGTGCATTTCCAGTTTGCCAGTGGTGATAAAATCTTGCCAAGAGACACAGAGTATCATGTTGTGCCTTTCTGCTTAGTTTCTAAAGTGTAAATAGCCTACTTGGGATTTATAAAATTTCTGTCGTGTCCATGACTGTTACTTCCAAGAGTAGTCTTCATCTGCCCTTTTATTAAAAATCATACATTCACATAAAGTTCTTTCTTTACTCAATTTCATGGCACTTGAATTTTTCTCTTTACTGTGTGCCATTAGAAAACATGAAATAAATTTTGAAAATATTCTAGTCATTCATTATTTCCTGCTCATAAATATCAGCTTAAATCCCAGGGTATATACTCCTTACTGTATTTCAGCAGTTACTTGTGAATGTGGTGGTTTGTTTGGGTGGGGGGACTTGGCTTCTGGCTTTACTTCCTGATTTTCCAGCCATTTTATGTATGCACTTAGTGATTCTCAGCAGCTGGCTACAGCAGATGTTCAAAGCATACACATGCATATACATTAGACCAGCTTATCAGAGTTCACATTAAGACTTTTGCTCTGTGACTATATCTGATGAACAGCTGCTTAAGCCACCCAGCATCAGCAGTAGGGTGACTTTTACTTTTTGCATTTGGAAACCAAGAGGACAATTCCAAGCTTTTCTGAACATGCTTTCATTCCTCACATAAAGGGCTTGTTTCCTAGTGATTGGTATGTAGAGTGTAATGACTTTAAATTCCTTTTCCATGAAGTTCCAAGGCTAGCTCCTTGTCCAGAATAGAGGGATGGTAACAGTAGCAGTGCAGCTTTCCTCAGTTTTCAACTACATGGCTGTAGGTGCTCAGAAGGCCACTGTGCACGTGAGGGAATTGTGCTGTCACGTTCTGTACGCTTGGGCAGGGCCTCTGCCTGGGCTGTGAATGTGGAATTGGAAAAAGTCAGGTCTTGGCTCTGCAGTCATGTCTGTGTAATCTTGGGCGCATGACTTCTCCTCTGTGAATTTTAATTTTCTCATTTGCCAAATGGAACTGTGACACCTATCTGAATTATTTCAAGAGCTGTTCAGCAGTGAAAGCAAAAAGAATGTAGTTGTGGAAAAGATACACAGCTGTAGGGTCCTAAAGGGCAGCATGGTATTGGTATTAGTATCCTGTAATGTGTCCTGGGTCACATTCATGCCATTCTGTGATTTCATCTCAAAGACAAACATTTTCAGAATTGGAATCACCTAGGAAGATCAGAGTCTTCGATGCATGTGGTATATGACCCCTGTCTGTAGAGTTGGTTGGCTATTTAAACATTTGTTGAATACTCCTTGGCATTTCTTACTTCATGTGGCATTCATCCTGTTTTCAAGCATATATAATTATATTAAAAGTTTTGTAGATTTGATAATGATATAAGCTAGTAGGTACATAAGAGTGTTTATGAAAATATCCTGAGTCAGGTTACTTCAACTTTGGGTACTCATTTATCTTGTCTTGGAAATGAGAACAAAGTGATATACAGGGATGTGAAAAAGATTATAGAATTATTGAAGTAGAGTATCTTTATTATTTGAGAAGATGATGCATTGCTCACTTTAAGAGCTTTGAAGCATGCAAACCCCATCTCTTCTGCACACCTTCTGTTAACATTTAGTGAACTTCATTTGCAGCAGCTCTGTGTGTATCAATACAAGTATTCAGAGATGTTTTTAGGAAAGTAGGATCATATTTACACTTTGTATTTCCTCAAAAGGAAGACCATATGTGTTTCTAATGAAAAAAAAATCTTTTTTCAGTTTTTTCTAGTGCAGTGGAGGAACTAGAAATTGAATTTAAGACCGAAGAAATTACCAATTTTGCATTAATGTCCTTTAACCTTAGTGAGACTCTAAGAACTGAGAGAGAGAATCTTTTGAGTTCTGGTAACTTTGTTTTAAAATGACTGAGTGAATCAGCATTTTTTTTTTTAACTTTTTGCTATGAAAGATGGGAAAATGAATGACACTTCTAAATGCCCCTTTCTCCCTTCTTGTTTTACTGTTCTGTAAAGAAATGTTGTTAGCATTTGCTTTCTGTTCTTCGCCGTTACCAGAGCTGGTTAGTCTTGACGTTCCCTCAGAAGGGTGGACACGTGGCCACACGCTCTGGCCTCTGATGCCCCTGAAGGGCCACGCAGCCCCTGCTGTCCACTTACTCTTGTTTGCTTCTGTGTCCAGGACTGTTTTTAATTAGCCTAACAACTTGGTAACTTCATCGATTATATCATTGTTTTTGATAATTTTTGTGTCAAAAGATTTTAAAATTATATTTAAGTCTAGCTTTTGTTCTCTTTCTCAGGAAGTGTGAAAATACACATACCCCTTTTCCTTAATTTTCTGTATCTGTGGCCCTTAAGGACACGAATTCCACTTAATGAACTTGCCCATTGAACATTTTTTTCGTACTGTGTTTTCAGTCTTATCCTTATTAATTTTTGTTCCCCGAATGGCAATTCATCTCCATAGTATTTCACATCTTTTTGTCATATCTTCTGTTTTAGTATTCTTCTTGAACCTGTACTTGTACCTCTTCCTTGAACTTTTTTTTTTTTTTTTTTTTTTTTTAAGTAAGATCTTTTTCTCACCGACCTACCGCCCCCTTTGCTTGGGTGATTCCTTCTGTCATGTTCTGCACTGGCCTTTGCTTGCAATTCTCTCTTGCTATGATATTTGCTGCTTTTACAGACAGCTCCCCCGTGGTTTCTCCCTGATTGCTACCCATCTGTACATGGGGCTATTATTTGCCAAGTACAGTGTAAGCAGAAGTACCAGTGGTTCGGGCGTGAGCTACATGTGTTCAGTTCTTTGATTTGAGTTTGTTATTTCAGATACTCTCTATATGAAGATGTCATTTCCAAAGTCTTTGCTGCGTAGCTGAATTCCTTAAGACTAGGGTCCGTGTCTTCCTTCCTGTGCTGCT